TCACAATTGGAGAACACACAGACCCGCGACTCCAGCTCGGAGAGGCCATTATACAGTCAACATACGTATACTTCACAATTGGAGAACCCAGTGTCCCGTGACTCCAGCTCAGAGAGGCCACAAAACAGTCAACATACATATACTTCACAATTGGAGAACCAACTGTCCCGTGACTCCAGCTCGGAGAGGCCATTATACAGTCAACATACGTATACTTCACAATTGGAGAACCCAGTGTCCCGTGACTCCAGCTCGGAGAGGCCACAAAACAGTCAACATACGTATACTTCACAATTGGAGAACCAACTGTCCCGTGACTCCAGCTCGGAGAGGCCATTTTACAGTCAACTTACGTATACTTCACAATTGGAGAACCAACTGTCCCGTGACTCAAGCTCGGAGAGGCCATTATACAGTCAACATACGTATATTTCACAATTGGAGAACCAACTGTCCCGTGACTCCAGCTCGGAGAGGCCATTTTACAGTCAACATACGTATACTTCACAATTGGAGAACCAACTGTCCCGTGACTCAAGCTCGGAGAGGCCATTATACAGTCAACATACGTTTACTTCACAATTGGAGAACCCACTGTCCCGTGACTCCAGCTCCGTGAGGCCACAAAACAGTCAACATACGTATACTTCACAATTGGAGAACCCAGTGTCCCGTGACTCCAGCTCAGAGAGGCCACAAAACAGTCAACATACGTATACTTCACAATTGGAGAACCCAGTGTCCCGTGACTCAAGCTCGGAGAGGCCACAAAACAGTCAACATACGTATACTTCACAATTGGAGAACCCAGTGTCCCGTGACTCCAGCTCGGAGAGGCCACAAAACAGTCAACATACGTATACTTCACAATTGGAGAACCCACTGTCCCGTGACTCCAGCTCGGAGAGGCCACAAAACAGTCAACATACGTATACTTCACAACTGGAGAACCAACTGTCCCGTGACTCCAACTCGGAGAGGTCATTATACAGTCAACATACGTATACTTCACAATTGGAGAACCCAGTGTCCCGTGACTCAAGCTCGGAGAGGCAACAAAACAGTCAACATACGTATACTTCACAATTGGAGAACCAACTGTTCCGTGACTCCAGCTCGGAGAGGCCATTTTACAGTCAACATACGTATACTTCACAATTGGAGGACCAACTGTCCCGTGACTCAAGCTCGGAGAGGCCATTATACAGTCAACATACGTATACTTCACAATTGGAGAACCCAGTGTCCCGTGACTCCAGCTCCGCGAGGCCACAAAACAGTCAACATACGTATACTTCACAATTGGAGAACCCAGTGTCCCGTGACTCCAGCTCGGAGAGGCCACAAAACAGTCAACATACGTATACTTCACAATTGGAGCACCCACTGTCCCGTGACTCCAGCTCGGAGAGGCCATTATACAGTCAACATACGTATACTTCACAATTGGAGAACCCAGTGTCCCGTGACTCAAGCTCGGAGAGGCCACAAAACAGTCAACATACGTATACTTCACAATTGGACCACACACAGACCCGTGACTCAAGCTCGGAGAGGCCACAAAACAGTCAACATACGTATACTTCACAATTGGAGAACCCACAGACCCGTGACTCAAGCTCGGAGAGGCCACAAAACGGTCAACATACGTATACTTCACAATTGGAGAACACAGTGTCCAGTGACTCCAGCTCGGAGAGGCCATTATACAGTCAACATACGTATACTTCACAATTGGAGAACCCAGTGTCCCGTGACTCAAGCTCGGAGAGGCCATTATACAGTCAACATACGTATACTTCACAATTGGAGAACCCAGTGTCCCGTGACTCCAGCTCAGAGAGGCCACAAAACAGTCGACATACGTATACTTCACAATTGGAGAACCAACAGACCCGTGACTCCAGCTCAGAGAGGCCACAAAACAGTCAACATACGTATACTTCACAATTGGAGAACCCAGTGTCCCGTGACTCCAGCTCGGAGAGGCCACAAAACAGTCAACATACGTATACTTCACAATTGGAGAACCCACAGACCCGTGACTCCAGCTCGGAGAGGCCACAAAACAGTCAACATACGTATACTTCACAACTGGAGAACCCAGTGTCCCGTGACTCCAGCTCGGAGAGGCCACAAAACAGTCAACATACGTATACTTCACAACTGGAGAACCCACTGTCCCGTGACTCCAGCTCGGAGAGGCCACAAAACAGTCAACATACGTATACTTCACAACTGGAGAACCAACAGACCCGTGACTCCAGCTCAGAGAGGCCACAAAACAGTCAACATACGTATACTTCACAACTGGAGAACCAACAGACCCGTGACTCCAGCGATATGGGACAGTTTAGCGTATCTGCATACACATCTTGTACAATGCGGTAAATAAAGGGTATTAAATGTTACAACTGGTCTTAATTTTTGATAAATTCTAAATTAAATTCCAATACACGTATATATGCTTTCTTTCTAACTAATTATATGCATTTTTACAGCATTGGGTATGTGCGCACCGGATACCGGATGTCAAACATAAAACCATACTTCTGCACCAAATGAAATGAACTTAAAATATATATCATGGTCATGCCCCGGGTATTATAATAATACCTTGATGAACCTATACAAAATAGCTACGCGATAAATCACCGAGAACAATGACGAACGAAAGAGTGATTTCACAATAAAACATTGCAATATCATGACGTTATCTCATGACGAAGATTCGAACATACGCTCGCAACTTGATGACGTCGTAAATTGGACGATGCCATTTTTAGAGAGAAGTGAGTTGTTCCTCTTAGATTAAGTTGGACAATGCAGATAAACGCAATGGCCAAACTATTTCATCCAAAAGTGGACGAGATAGGGCAGTCGATAGTACGAGAAAAGGTACAGTGGGAATTTTGAGAATATTCAGGAAATACCAGTCTTAACCCCCTGTTTATAAATAGACTTGTCCGACATTGCCGAGATCGGAATGTATTACGGGAATAATTATCATTCAAATACGGGTAAATATGTTTAAAGTTTGTAAATTTTATGAACATCCACACAGAGGCTGCGCCCCTTGTAGTATATTGTCCCTGCTGTGTTTTATTGAACGATACACAACTCCCCCTCGTCATATATTGCTTAATAAATAACTCGGTCAGTTTCAATTACCATCTGAATTCAGAATAAAAAAAGCAACAATCTTAATCTTCACACACTTCATCTAATCATAGTTTATGCCAATAGTACCACGCAATAAAATACGGCTGTCTGAACATCGACAGGGTTTACTCTGAACATACATATATAAATGCAATTAGTTTTATATACTGCTTTAATTTTTCATATATATTCACGTTGTCAAACGATCTTCTGAGTTTTCGACATTCTGCTTTCAGCAAAACAGATAATTGAATGCATATTCTGCAGTTGTACGCTCATTTATATTCAGAGGGTTTTACTTTGTATTGCCTTGGTTAGACCGGAGCGTAAAAATAACGCGCTTACATATCAACCTCTTTATCGTCAAGTTATGGCCCGCTTACTGACAAAGCCAAAACACCCAAGTGGTGGCAATTTCGCTTTTCGATTAAGTCGAAGTGTCTGTACACATAAACTGGCAGATAATTTCCATTACTTTAAGTTGTAATATCGGCGTTGGCACGATCGATAGATGAAAAAGATGCTACGATATTCGAATGGCTTTTGTCAAAGAAAAATTAGGTTTTGTTTATTTCGGATTTATATGCCCCCCCGGGTCGAAAGAACGTTGGACATAGAATCTGTGTAAACAGTGAATGCGACATGGAAGATTTATGTGAACATTGAACGTCTTCAAATATACTTCACTAGTTCATTTGAAAGAGTGACAAACGACTTGCACTTCCTGCATGCATATACTGTAATAATCCTTGCGCTGTATGAAATGACATAAAGTCTCGTTGTATGAGCGTTTATGAGATCTTCACAGATTGATGGTCTGACTGTATTTACGTTGTAGACTGTGATGGAGTTCTGACTGCATCCCTGGCGATTTCAGGCTCCATTCATACGCTGTAGCAGCGTGCTTCGGCAGTTTAGACGCCAGCTGTGCCTGGAAAAAGTTGTTATTGAATGATGTCAGAGACGCTTGCGCATGAAGACGTTACCAATTCTATCAATTGTTTTTTTTATCTTTGTTACAAAAGGGTAAAATCAAAGGCAGGGCTGGAAGGTAGAACTATCCCACAAGCCTGTCCACACCCCGACACCGCCACAAACTACCGTCATTCTGTGCATGGCGCCCACCCGTTGTGATCGCTGGGAGGGTCATGGCTATCCCGTCATGGAGTACGTAGCCACTGTTTATAAATTTCCCAAATCTTTTTTATGTTGCTATTTGTACTAGTCGACGTTCAAGACAATGACAATTAGGGGATAAAACGTATTTCGCATATTGTCGATATAGCCTTTCTCATTGCTCGTATTACTTGACAGTAACACAGTCGTGCGGTAATTACCACCATTATCAGAGCTGACTGTGAATGTACACAGTTTAAAGAAATACACATGTTTGCAACCTATATTAATGATAAAACGGTAGATTATAGATACTTAATATTTTAACAATTGATGTACAGTTTATTTTATTACTGTAAGTCACATGTCCGTTGATGATAAAACACTGCATTCTGGGTGATTTCTGTCTTCATATATGGAGACCTTAGATCCGTGCTCCGGTTACTTGTATACAGTCGATATTGAGATAGGAAATACATATATACAGAACACATATACTACGAATACCGTGCATGTGCTATGAACTGTAATTGAAGAAAGTTCAGTATCTTATTCAATTCAAGACCTTGAAAAAGTAAAACGGCTATGCAGGATGCCAAACAATTATCAACGTTCTGAAGAAGAAATCAATATTCATACACTTTGGGATATACTTGAAAGGAACCTGCAGACCGTGTCTACTTGTGTCGGGAGTACAAGGGGGTCATGCTGGGCCTGAGTGGACCTCAGAACGCTACCTATTGCTGTTATTGCCGGGCACCCCAAAACATTGTAAGGTACAATCTCGCTACCATTTATCTGCCACTAGCAAATCAACAACCATGTTATACATTGTTCTCGTCACAGTCCTACTTGGTAAGTTGTCTATTTCATACTTACTTTGTGTATATAGTTGTAATACTTATATTTTGCTAATGTTTAGTTTGGATTGCCTGATATTTAGAAAGTTTAACTAAGATGGTCTAAACTGTCAATATTATGTCTATCGCATTCCATATTTTGAGTTTGATGAAACAAATGAAGTTCTTTAAGTTTACTGTAGGGGAACTAGAGACAATACAAAACATTCCCTAACGACATGATGACATGACGTGTTTGGTAATGTATACCTCTAAGGTAGAACTTCTTTAGTTGTACATCTGACATGTTTGTTTGGGGGTATTTAAAGACCTGTAAGTTTTAATATAACAAACCTCACTTAAATCTTCAAATAATGAAATACATATTCCTTTACCCCGATAATCTACTTATTTAATATCAGGAGATTCAACATGAAACAGTCGTAAATCTGCAAATTGAACAAATTCGTAACATTGTTCTTGTGATGACGAATATTACAAATCATATGTTACAACATATTTCAAACAATATCACATTAAATAATAGACATTAAGATTTTGATACTTTCATGTTTGTGTGTTTGTTTGCTGTTACACACCGCACTCAGCAATATTCCAGCTATATGACGGCGGTTTGTAAATAATCGAGTCTGGACCAGACGCAATTGGGATATGATGACATGTATCAACCAAGTCAGCGAGCCTGACCACCCGATCCCGTCAGTGGCCTCTTTCGACAAGCATAGTCACTTTTTACGGCAAGCATGGGTTTCTGAAGACCTTCACGGGTGAATACTTTGATGTAAAAACAACACATTTATAGCGTAATATACTATACTGTACGGCTCAATCAAATGTTTCACATCACAGAAACACGCCTCTAACAACTAACATTTTATATTTGGGGGACACCATTGCAGAGAGTTTAAACATTGATGTTCCTCTACTTGTCACGTGTATTGCGTCCCAATAGTGAGACTGTTGAGACAGTGTGCGCGTTATAAGTGTAGGCCTTTTTATTACACAAATATACCGCACACAGACGAAAGACTACACACGACAAGTCACTACATCACATGAAGTCCCAATATTTAACCAGACACGCGTGTCGATTCTCAATTGAAACAATTTGTTAACCCAGAAATATGTACGTAAAAGAATCTGGTGTGAAACCAACAAATAGTATACAATTAACAATTTTATTACAAAATTCACTAAGTTTACAAATCTATACAAATTACATCTTCTCGAGGCAAAGGAGTTCACTGACTATAAAAGTCAAGTTTCCACCCTTTCCGAACTAGACTGGTATTTCTGGACTCGATCGTAGCGCCACTAATACGAGTTATGTCCCTTCTATGTCTCTCCTGTTGGTGAATCAGATTGCACCTATCATATCACTTGCACTTGCGGCGCCCAATCAAGATGATCTAATGCATAATCAAAATCTATACTGACATAAAACTGGTCTTACATCGAGAAGTGCATCCAATCACGCCAGCACCTTGATTCAAAATGTAATATCTGTATTTGAAATACAAAAGCTGTAAACTACTGTGTAATACTATGATAGGGAGATAATCGGCCGACCAAGTGGCAGGCTCGTCTCCCAACTCCCGCGTATGTCCCTGAGAACCCAATAAAAAACATGAAAAGATTTGGAACATATCTGTTGAGGCGCAGTTGGAATGCTTTGCAAATCCTGCAATCGACCAAAATCTGAACGGCGGATTACGAACCGGATGTCAATTTCGTCAAGCGACTTTGATTGGGCTATGCATGGACACGTTGGTCCAGCCAGAATGTAAACAATAATTCCAGCCTAGTTCGGCAAGGGTGGAAACTGGAGTAATCAGTTATCTCCCTTGCCTCGGGAAAATGTACAAATTAGGACACAGCAATTACAATGGCAGTAAACAATAGAGTGGCAGCACAATATTCAATGACAACATATAATATGATGGCAGTGGTCAGTACCAAATACACAAATACAGCAGTAATAGCAAAAGTCAGTGATAAAACAAATTCGTTTGTCAATTCGAATTTCTACTTCATTTCAACTACACTGAACCGCAAAAGAAACGTCACCCCAAGTTATATTGCATGAAAAGTTGTCATTTAAATATCTGGGTAATTTTCATCAAAGTTTCTAAAATTTAACATTACCTTGTCCGGAAATATGAAATTTTGATCATAAAAAACCCCAAAGCAGATGACAATAAAACCGATCGCCCAAACGCATCACGGCAACGGCCATGGTAACCCAATGCACGTGAGTTCCGTGCAAATTGAAATGCACACGCGTTCCCTCATTTCTTGCCCTATAAAAATCCACCCAGATCGGATAACATTCATTTGTTATTGAATTGCTACCACATGCCAATATTGACAAGAAATCAGCGACACCAAGCCCTTGGAAGATTGCAAGCTGGACAAACCGCCCGGCAAGTAGCCAATGTATTTCAAGTCCACTTAAGGACCATATACAGGCTCCAGCAACGGTACCAGGCCACCAACACTATAGATGACCGACCACGTAGTGGAAGACCAAGGATCGTCAGATTGTGCGACAGCATCTTTAAGATCGCTTTGTTACTGCTGCGGAAACTGCTCGACAGACCATGGGGACACACCAGGGACACATTAGTGCGGACACCGTGCGTCGACGATTGACGAGCAGACACCTCCACTGTCACAGGCCACACCGAGGACCCATTCTGACACCACGTCATCGCTGGACCGTCTTCAGTAGGCAACAGAGCACAAGCATTGGCGCCACCAGCAGTGGAGAAGAGTCCTTTTCTCAGACGAGAGCCGTTACTGTATTTCAACAGCAGATGGCAGAGAGAGAGTCTGGCGACGCCGTGTGAAACGTTATTTGGATGCTTGTGTTGTTGAGAGAGACTCGTGGGGTGGTCCGAGCTTCATGGTGTTGGGTGGAATTGGAAAAGGGTCGGCCCTGTGGTCTTCCGAAACATCGGTCCAGGGAGAGGCAATGGTGTCACAGCAGCTCGGTACATTGATCAAGTCTTGAGACCACACGCCATACCTCATTTGGCACGTCGCCGCAACAACGAGTTTCAGCATGATAACGCCCGTGTCCACACTGCGAGAGCAACAAGAGACCTCCTCAAGCAGAATGGCATCAGAAGCATGCAGTGGACTGCCCTCAGTCCCGATTTAAATCCCATTGAGCACCTGTTAGACGAGATTCAAAGACGGCTGAATGACGTCCGACCAAGACCGACAACTACAGCTGAACTGCGTCAGGCCTTCATCAACCACCTCATCCATTCCATGTATCGACGTTGCACGGCACTCATCAATGCACATGGCGGACACACGAGATACTGACTTATGATGCCATTTTTCTCAGAGATTAGTGTTGAGTTTCACTTTAAGAACATTTGACACTTTAATTACAACCTTGATTATCAGTTTTGCCAAGTTTTATCTTTTTAATATGTCTCAAAGTATGTTTACAGTGCTTGGACAAATAAGGTTTCTCATATATCTATCCACGGTGACGTTTCTTTTGCGGTTTAGTATGTCATGAAATTGGTGTAGTGAAAATGTAAGGGGCAAGTTGGGTGATTTTCCGTTCGTCTGCAATCTCGCTCGCTTATTCCTGTTGTAAAAGTATTGAACCTCTCGATCCAATTCATTCTTTCTCAGCTGTTTATCTTTTATTTGCAAATTATTAATCTTAAAGAAAATACATTAAAATTAGAAGATAAAAACTGACTAGACGAAGGTGGTTTTCGGATTTGTGTAATTTCAACAATTAATTTCTAAGACATGTTCAGTTGAATGTAACAAATTTGACATTGTCTTTTCAATGCGTGAAACGACATTTCCTAATACTCATTTATTCCATGACTGAACATCTACTTTCATTGAAAGCATTAACAAATAGTACACATATCTGATATGTATTAATTACGGTAATCGTATGAAGGAATATCATATCCATAGAAGTATTTCTACATTTACCAATGTCACAGAGCTGCGCTGCAATTATCAGCGAAGTCATTATTCAAGAATAAAGTAATAATGAAAACGTGGTGATAGGTTCACAGGTTTATCAATAACAGCTATTTATATCAGTAGATGACAACAAAAGTGATCAAATGAGCCCAATCTGCGCTGGCAAAGACTATTGATATTAATTACATCACAGCAAATACACAAGCGGCAAAGCAAAACAACTTTATTACAGTAATAAAATGAGAGTAGCTAATACAACACTTTGACAAGATGCCGGCCAGATGCGTAGACAGACAATTACGTCGACTGCGACCAATTAACACCTGAGTTAATTAATTCTACACTCTAATGAGTGAATAACCTCGGCTTGGTTAAACAACGGGAAATAAACACAGCAAGCAACCATAAAAACCCCCCTAGGTTGCCTTTCGGACATACCCTTTACGACCAAACACTAAATGGCCTGGCGGGCCCGTGCGCGAAATACGCTTATGACCGAAAGCGCAGGTTAAATTCCCAATTTAAGTAAGTAAGTAACTGAATACCAAACTAGTCTAACAGACTAAATATTTAGTCACCTTGACTGAGGAAGGAAGTACTAAAATTCCCCCAAAAGCTAGACAGTCACGGGAAGGTTGGTTCTCCATGGATTCGGAGAAAAACTGAGTATTGGAAACCCTGTTTACTGAGTAGCAAGACCATCACAGGAAGGTGGGTTATCCGCGGATAACAAGACAGACGGAGTATTACAAACCCTAATTACTAAGTTTAGCTCAATATAACCAGTCAGTGCAAGATCAAAAGTGCCCCGTATTCACTTACTAACGAAACCGAGCGAGCCAGGGAATACAATAGTCTGAAGGGCTTAGCCAACGTGTGTTTCTAAACATGGGGAAAACACGAATAGCAAACTAACTACTATATCTATACTGAAGACGTAAGTATCAAATCGACTTTGCCGAGCGAGGGACCGGAGCGGTCACTAGACCGAGACAAGGGTAGATTCGGTGACAACTATCAACATAGTAATATTCAAACCCCACGGGGATTCCCAAGTAGCCTATGCCTGTCGCAAGTGGCCAGACTCGGTAACTCGGTTGATTACGTACCATCGTACATCGACCTCGTGGATCCTTGCTTACTGGTTTGCAATGAACGGATTTGCAGTCAAGGGCACCATTTCTTAAATGTAAACAAGCGTACGTGTACATTTGAATTTATCATCCAACATAGCCCTACAAAAAAAACCCATATCACATTTCTGTCATCTGTAATCATGTACACTGCGGTGAGGGACTGACAATCTACATTTTTCCACATTTTTTAAACAAACGCTTATTGCCAAATATAATTTAAATACTCGGAATTATATTGATCGAAGTACCCATATCCTGACGCGCATTCTGATTGGCTTACGCCGTTTCGACGCATGGCGGCTTTCGAGAGGGGGATGGGCCTTGTTGTAGGTTACGAAAACATGCGAGTGGTGACGAATACTGTATCATGTAACCTTGTAGAGGTAAACATTGGTTATTCCAAACGACAGTTTCGGACTGTACGACGGATTCCTTCAAAATCATCCTCTGTCTCTCGCTTCAATGGCATATACTATTGATGGAATCAGATAACTCCATTTAAACTGAAAAGGTGCTCCAGTGATATGGGAAATTCGGAACCTGAGGAAAATCTAGACTTGTTTCATTGAGGGCTTTTGCTTTACAGAAAGGGTTGGACGGAAGGGAAATAATATGGTTCAGGGTCTGTGGGACAGACGAGTCTGACACCTCACTGTACGTATGTAACGCTGGGTTAGGTTATTGTTGGTGATCTGAAACGTGCATGTGGACAAAACACGTACGTCTATAGATCGTTTATACGGTTCTGCTTTTGGTGTTGATTGATTGCCCTATGCTTGTGGTGATCTACCCTCTGTCAAAGTCAAATGTTTTAGACGTTTCCGCTCCTGTCATGGATATAATGTATTTCCCCATTACCACTTAATAATAACTCATTTAGATGTCATTGAATAATGTTGGCACATTCTTCCCAGAATTAGGTTTCATTGCAACTAACTTGTTATTCTTACATATATAATTAATGTTTTCGTTTCCATTTTGTACGTCGTTCCTTTTGGAGGGGAACCTAACATATTGATTGGATCTGTCTGTAAAGTTATATTTGTTAATTATCCGATTTTTTTTTTTACTATTCTACATTTTTTCGAAAGTTCCAGAAGAGCTCTGTATCTTTCGAATTATCGTTAACGATTGTACTATATAGCCAGCGCTGTCTCCTGTCTTGCTACGACCTGTAGCCATCACTGTCCTCTTTCCTGCTATAACCTATACTCAACACTGTCCTGTGTCCTGCTACAACCTGTAGCTAACACTGTCCTCTGTCCTGCTACAACCTATACTCAACACTGTCCTGTGTCCTGCTACAACCTGTAGCCAACACTGTCCTCTGTCCTGCTACAACCTGTAGCTAACACTGTCCTCTGTCCTGATAAAACCTATACTCAACACTGTCCTCTGTCCTGCTACAACCTGTAGCCAACACTGTCCTCTGTCCTGCTACAACCTATACTCAACACTGTCCTCTGTCCTGCTACAACCTGTAGCCAACACTGTCCTCTGTCCTGCTACAACCTGTAGCCAACATTGTCCCCATGACCTGCTACAACCTGTAGCTAACACTGTCCTCTGTCCTGCTACAAACTGTGCTCAACACTGTCCTCTGTCCTGCTACAACCTATACTCAACACTGTCCTCTGTCCTGCTACAACCTGTAGCCAACACTGTCCTCTGTCCTGCTACAACCTATAGCCAACACTGTCCCCTGTCCTGCTACAACCTATAAGCAACACTGTCCTCTGTCCTGCTACAACCTATAGGCAACACTGTCCTCTGTCCTGCTACAAGCTGTAGGCAATACTGTCCTCTGTGCTGCTACAACCTATACTCAACACTGTCCTCTGTCCTGCTGCCATCCCGTGAAGATCCGGGGTAGAATAGGTCTTCAGCAACCCATGCTTGCCGTGAAAGGCGACTTACGGGATCGGGTGGTCAGTCTCGCTGACTTGGTTGATGCATGTCATCGGTCCTAATTGCGTGGATCGATGCTCATAATGTCAATCACTGGATTCTCTGGTCCAGACTCGATTATTTTTACAGACCGCCGTCATATAGCTGTAATATTGCTGAGTGCGGCGTTAAACGACCAACCAACCAACCAACCAACCAATCCTGCTGCCACCTGTACTCAACACTGTCCTCTGTCCTGCTACAACCTATACTCAACACTGTCCCTTTTCCTGCTGCCACCTGTACTCAACACTGTCCTCTGTCCTGACACAACCTGTACTCAACACTGTCCTCTGTCCTGCTACAACCTATAGCCAACATTGTCCCCTGTCCTGCTGCAACCTAGCGCCAACACTGTCCCCTGTCCTGCTGCAACCTGTAGCCAACACTGTCCTCTGTCCTGCTACAAGCTACAGACAAGACTGTCCCCTGTCCTGCTGCAACCTATAGCCAACACTGCCCCCTGTCCTGCTACAAGCTACAGACAACACTGTCCCCTGTCCTGCTACAAGCTACAGACAAGACTGTCCCCTGTCCTGCTACAAGCTACAGACAAGACTGTCCCCTGTCCTGCTACAAGCTACAGACAACACTGTCCCCTGTCCTGCTACAAGCTACATACAAGACTGTCCCCTGTCCTGCTAGAAGCTACAGCCAACACTGTTCCTCTTTCCTGCGACAACCTACAGCTTACAGTGCACTTTTTAACATAGTATTTCAGGCAGATTCGTATGTGGGTTATTAATGGAGATAATTGTGTGGATGGTTAATTTGCGATCAGCTATGTCCAAAACATGAATACGTTTGGTGTTTTGTTTCAGCGGCTGACAGTGGCGTCGAATGTACATCATGCCCTGATTGTGAAAACACGTTCAACTCAGCCAAAGACTTAAAAAATGTGCCAGGTAGTTGCATGTGAGTGTTGACGGGTTGTCTTTGTTTATTGGTAATATAATGTGAAGAAGAAAACAACAATCGTGAACACGGCGTAAAATGACGTACAGACGAGACGAAAATGCCTGGCAAAGTTATTGCAGCCTCTATTGCATCGGCAACTGTAAAGGAAGTAGTCACCCTATATGCATGCATGATGTAAGAATGAATCTTCGCTACAACGAGGTTCTATTACAACCATGTTTATATATCCATGCCGCGAACCAGTTAACCACAATGACATCCGAAAATCGCCTATTCCTCCTCAGAAATAATAAGGTTGCTGTCTGAACCATTTGTCTCTGTTCGTCAATTTCAGGTCTTGGAAGGCCTACCTGACATGCCTGGAGACTGCTACAGACAACTGCCCCCAGGGCAGTGGCCAGGTGGAGGAGATCGGTAACTTCTACGATTTGATCAGTCATAATTGCTGTGAGTATTAGTGCCACAAAATACACGCGTGAATACATACTGTTATGTACAAAAATATACGGCGATTAAATATAACGCAGTAATATCTGAAAGTAGACTTTAGTATTAATAATTTAAAATTCAAAATCAAACTCTAGTATCCTACATAATAATAATTAAATACATCAGTTAATGTGCTATATTCTAGTATGAAGATGTACAAGTCACAAGTATATCCGATAAACAATGTCGCAGAGTAGTATGGAAATACGCTTGTACTTGCTATTTGTGACATCTATTCTGTGCCATTTTGTACTGGGTGGATGAAGCTAGCCGTTCAGTATCATGTTGCAGCCCTGACTGATGCCTGTGTGTGCCAGAAGGGTTACTGGGAAACACATCTCACAAGTACAGACAATGCAAACTGCAAGTAAGCAACACAATGGTTACAGATGTGACGGTCGGTATTATTACTTGTTACAACCGTAATGAGTGTGACCGGCCCCAGATCTGTTCCGGTGTAACTCACACGTTTTCCCACTATGGTGACTATTTTATTTTCAGTGAGCGAGTAAAGATTTGTCGTCACAACGGCAGTATTTCAGCCATGTCGTGATTAATTTGTTTTCGTAAATGATAATATTTTTCCTGATATCATAAGCAGTGTTTTCTATTCTTAATATTCGAACATTATAGTCATAAACGTAATGCACAAGTATAACACTCCTTACATTGGTTAATGTCTTTGTACTTTATTTGATATATATTCGGATTGACGTAACTATAAATCTAAATCCATACGGTCTTTTCCCGTGCAAGTTTATCTCTTGAATATCCCACCATTTAATGTAGATCTTAATCTGGCATTGGATCAAAGTTTGATTTCATCGTTTCAGCGCAGCTAAAACTCGCATCTCCTGTTTGAGAGGAAAGACGGAACTCGCCTGTGACGACACAACGTCAGTAGCAGGGCTCGCTACATCAACTGAAACGTTCATCGGATCATTCAGTACCTGCAGTACGTATACATGCTAATATATGTTATGTATATATAATACTTCAACTTGTGTGGCGTTTGATAAAGCTGTGTATATTTCATGCAGCAACGAATGTTAACGCTCATGCCCCTTGAAGGTCAACACAGTCACTCATGGTTTGTCACCATCAGTGCAAACAGGCTGAATTTGTGAACGATGTCACGGCTGTTGCAGCGTTTTCAATGGACATGCCATGCATGATAATGCGTCAAGAGATCCAGTTGTCTTATCAAGTTGGTCCTGGCAGATGTGCTGTTCTATCTGTATATCGGGATCCTCCTTGATGGCGCTATCGTGTGGGGTAAGGTATCGGCACTGAAGAGAGTGAGGTTAATTAGCGTCTGTGACACTTTAATGTTCAAAGGTTTGGGGACGAATAAGCATTATTCCAGCAAGAACGCCAGACCCAACAGAAACTGGCACAGAAAGTCCCGAACAACACCAGTGTATCCATCCTAGTCTGGACGGTCATCTGACTTGTCGCCGAGTGTGCACCTGCCATCATCTGTCCCTCAAATAAGAGCAAAACCGCAATTCATTGTGGACCAACGTGAACTGGACCGCGAAACAGGTGGTAAAGGCCGACTGGTCTCTCATCCCCGGAACGTAGCCATGCTCCATATGCCATTAATGTCGACATATTGTCTGACATTGCATCTACACGGATCTATTAGAAACTGGGGTTTTGTTTAGTTAGCTATGTATACATAGAAATATACTTGATTTATTAATAAATACTATATTATAACATACGATTTGAGGATTCTCGCATCTTAAAATAACAAATAAGAAATATTGTGTTACATGTACTTATTAACTTTGCCTTTACCTAACTGCTTAATTAAAGGTTCATGTATAGGCTGGAATATTTATAAACTAACTAATCATTATCGATTATTTCCGTCAACAGTCCACTGTACACGTCTTTTGTGTTTTCGTCCTTGTGTTTATCAATCATGCCATGCGTGTGACGAGCTGACATTTGTAATTGTAGGCATAGACGCCGGATCAGCATGTGAGTGTGAACTCAACTACGTTAAAGCAGATGTCAGTTCAGAAAGCATGTTGTGCACGTGAGTATATCCATTTAGAGAAGTCAAAGGTCATATTTGTATACACTCCATCCGAAATATATACCTGTGCATTTGGATATGTTACAAGAATATCAAACCGTTTACATGAATTACTGAAACTTCTAATTTGGGTTTGAAGCTATTTTCACGTAGGATGGTGAATTCGTGCACACACGGGGTCAAAACAATTTAATTATGCCATTGCACATGAACTTGTAAACCGTTCTCGTAAATCTTGATAACAAACATTTATATGTTAAACATATAAACAACTTAACGAAATGCAGTTGTAACCTCTCATTGGATTCGCAGAGTGGGGAAGTCTTTGCAGCTTGAACACAGAGAGTTAATTATTTTTGGTAACTAGAATATATATTGTGTGCTATAGAGAGACCAAGCAATTCATCAGTTGTCTGGCAGGGCTTCCTGGGACGGTGTGTATGACAACAACTGTGGCAGAGGCGGTTGTTGCTGCAGAAACAACAATCAGTAACATCCCTGGCAACATATGTGGTATGTTTATAAAATGAATAAATATGCAAATGACTTGAAAACACACAGAAGAAATTAAATTGTATAATACTGTCGATACTTGCTGGAATTGTACATTGCGGGATATATATGTTTCTTCTGCAACCACGATGCAGTCGAAGATGAGTATCATATTTTATCATGTGGTTCTTATAACGATTTTTAAAGGTGATCTTCTTCAAGATTCACAAATCGTACATCCATCAATGTGTTCGGAACATGAAGATCAACGACTAAGCGTAGTCTGCTCGCGACTGTAGTCTTGAAAATATATCCTGTCCTGTCAACACGACAAGTGAACCCCCCAGTCGACCTGAACACTAAATACTGTATCATGGGCCTATAATTCTGCAAATAAATGGTTGCATTATTAATAACTATATTTAACATGAAACAATGCATTGTGTATTGAACCGTGACATGTGCTTTTGACAGCTGTAAAAGAAACAGCATGTGCGTGTGAGATAGCCTATGCCAAGTCCGACATCGGGGACGACACCAAGAAGTGCTCGTAAATGACGAATTCTTTACTCACAATAATCTTAACCTAAATATTGTAATGTATTTGAAAATATACAAGAAGTAAATAGTAACATGAACCTTAAACTCTAGAACATATGATAGTCCTCAGATAATTAACTCTGAAGTCATTTTGTCTTGGTTAGGAAATATCAACTAATGGATATACTAGGTCGCATGCATTGCCTCAAAATAGTTTGACGTACATGATATCATTGATTAGATACTAATTAGTTAGAAATAGTTATGGACATGTAGAATTATATGAGGAAGTTTTATGTTTTTTCATAAACATGCTAAACATGAAATCTAACATACTCAGTACATATGTGAACAGTGAAACCAAAGTGTTCATTGGATGTCTGCGAGGAACAACTGGAACCGGATGTACTGGGACTGAGATTGTCCAACTGATCACGGGAGCCGAGACAAAATTGACTGGTATCCCTGACAGTGCATGTGGTGAGATACTTCCCCTTCTGCACCCAGAACAACCACATCCGCTCATCTCCGAGAAGACAATTTAGCAAAACTAGACACTGAGGCCAAGTATTTGTGTTGCCAAGTCAATGATTGACACAATATTGTTGTAACAACTTTTAACGCCAGACACAAACATATCCAACAGAACCTTACTTCCTTATATCTGTCTTTTCTTAAATTTATATTTTATCGAAATCCTGGGAGACTTTTGGAGAAATATAGAGAATTTTCGTTTGATACCACTACAGGATAGCGGTGTAAGGTCGCAACATGATTTATGATACTGAGACACTTAAAATTTCGCTTGTGTCCATTACGTGTCTTCTCATAATTCCTGGAGCTATACATATTGTTGGATAGCGTTTAAAGGTACCAGATGGTTCTCACTGAGATATATGGGAATCAGGAAAGGGGGCACATTATTGCAGGGGTAAATTCACAACTGACCCTAACACGTTCAATAACACTCTGTGTTCTTGTATGAGTTTCAATGTGTAATTTGTCTCGCGGGGAGATTTATGTTGACTATTGGCTGAAGTCTATAACTCTGCAAACTCCCTTCGTGTCCAGCGTTAGGCAACACAGCGTGCGGCTGCGAAGTAACATATGCGAAAGCTGACGTCACCAGCCCGGCCAGCCTGTGCACGTGAGTGATAGTTTGTAATATCCGATAAATTGTTTATAAAGGAATATTCTATGAATCATGTAGTAATAATAGTTCAAGGCATGACGAAAAGTGTCAGTACATATAAAGTTATACATTGAAAGGGAAGCCTTTTTTGTCATTAAATATATCCATGTTCCAAACTCATTAAAATCACATCTTAGGTCTCGCTTCCGCTAAAACTCTGAGGACTTCCATTACGGGTCATGTCAGAACGACCTTTCAGCGACCAATCAGAGACTGGAAAGTGACAGTCAGTGTGTTTTCTAATCACGAATCATCGGAATGGTTAACACGGGGTATTCCGAACGGCAGTCAACATTACCGTCTGTCTCTCGCTTCAGTGGGATAAACATTTGAAATGAAGAGACTTTCCATAGCCCTCGGGCTATAAATTTTATGGTCTCTGATTAGACGGTCCAGAATGTTCTTTTGTTCAGTTTTCAAATTTTGAATCGATATTTATCTAAGCCTAGTCTGGAATGGAAGTCGTTAGTTGAGACTAGTGCCGCATACCCTGAGAAAGCTGCTTTCTGATTGGCTGAGGTCGACTTCTTCTTAGTCATTTCAATGGTCGGTCAAAGTTCGTGAAAGGTCGTTCTGACGTGACCTACAATGGGGTATCCTCAGGTCTGTGTTAAGCGGTTACGAGAACTCAGCGACATTGAACCACTTTCATGCCGTACTACGAAGTAATCAGGAAAGCAATATGTTGAATATCTGTGACCATGCTTGTTACATATCTATTTAAAAACGTTTCTTGCTTAATGCTCTGTATATATGGCATGGTGATTAAATATGTGTTTGGGACTTCAACAAGTTGACACGTGACGTCTTGCATGTGCAATTGTTCTCTCTAGCGAGACGAAGGCATTCATAGCGTGTCTGGCCGGAAAGAGGGACAGGGGCTGTAACATGAGCGTATCTGTGGAAAAGCTGGCCACAGAAGGGGAGACAATTCTGAAAGGAATCGGAACTGAGTGTAGTGAGTCCTAAAAATTATCTTGCCTATTGAGTGGACAGAATGGAACAGTCAATATATACCAGTAAAGAATGTATATGTTCAACATGATTCCGATATGCATAATATTTACAGGGGTAATACTTTAACGGGTTAGCTTCGGCCGCAGAATCCTGATGTTTATTTAATTCGACCTATGAGCCTGAATATTTTTTGAAGAAAGCCCCCGCAACAAGACAATATCCATTTTTACAACAGGCTGTAACATGGTGCATTTTTTCAAGAAATGTCTGGGACAAATTATTTTTTCTATGAAAACCCAGCATATCCCTTCCGTAACGGTAAATAATAAAACCTGCCATACTTTGTGTCAGTACATATCAAACACGATATTATCACCCCAAATAGCCTCAAATTGTAAAGCAAAAATAGGTTAGACATTTAAAATAGCAACATATGATATCATGAATAACGTCCTTCTTTTTAGATATAACCGAAACAGCATGTGCGTGTGAGATCGCCTATGCCAAGGCCGACGTCAGTGACGACACCAAACTCTGCACGTGCGTCAAGTATACGATCATACGTGTGACAACTGTGCAATCATTCCATGGTCACACAGCGAGTGTATATAGCCAAACACGTGCCCAAGTAAATAAGACAAAAATAATTCAAATAAAGTAATCGACTTGCTTGTGTATCAGTCTGATCGTATGTGGTAATATAGTTCTGAAAGTCTCTGCATATATCTCTACTACTGTAATTTGTAAATTGGCGCATCTCGAAATACACATTTCTCAAATCGACATGGGAGTGAGTGAGTGAGTGAGTATGGGTTTACGCCGCTTTTAGCAATATTCCAGCAATATCACGGCGGGGGACACCAGAAATGGGCTTCACACACTGTACCCATGTCGGGAATCGAACCCGGGTCTTCGGCGTGACGAGCGAACGCTTTAACCACTAGGCTACACGGCCGCTCCTAAATCGACATGGCATATTTGATTCACATGGTGATAGAACGCTGCTTTGAACAGTATTCCACTAATATCACGGCGTGTCAGCTTTATGTGGGAGGCAAGCCCGATGTGATGCAGGTATCGGACGTGTACCTCTTTGGGGAAACTCAAAAGAACTGACAACGTGCTGACAAAGGTTACAACATAATCGGTATTGCCCAAGAGACTCAACTCTACAGAGCAATTGCGGCCCCTTAGACCACTGAGCTACCCGCGCCCCCAACAGAGCAATTTCATGTTGTATGTAAAATCTACAAGAGAGAATATTTATGCAGTTGATAAACAGTATATTTGTAATTCTATATTTTTTTCATTTACGACATAGTGAAACAAAGAAGTACATCGGTTGTTTGAAAGGTAAAACCGGAACTGGATGTGACGGAAGTTCATCGATAAATAAGATTGTGACGGTGGCCGAAACAACTCTGGGCAATATCACCGGTGGAGTTTGTAGTGAGTTATTCTATGCATTCTTCTGATATGTCGATCTTATTCCATCTTCCTGAGGCAAGAGTGTACACTAGCCTACATTAAAGGCTTGTTTCCACCATTGCCATTTCACAGATAACGTTTCTGTGCTAACATATGAGAGGACGATCGCACATATCGAGTTCCGAAAACGGGATCGCTGCTATGGCCACACCCATCGACTGTCGAATTGTTGTTGAAAGTATTCCGAAGCTTTAGCGAAAACAAATGTTTTCGAAGTGGTTGGCAGTTTCAATCAACTCGAGAGAGTTAATTTTTGCGTGCAACTTCATTGTGTTTTAATTCGAACCACCGAACGCTTATCTCAGTGTTGCTTGTATGCCCCCGTAAGAGCAAAATGCGGCAGTAATAAGTTTCAGTACTGTTGTAATCTATCATTTTGTTTGTCTGGTATCGTTATCTTAACGACTAGGTCGTCTGCTATGGTATTCATCTTTGAGAAGCCATTCGAAATAAAAACAGCGATCTGATTGGATATCGCATTTTCTACACAAGCACACATCTCGTGTTCTGCCCGGGTTGGCACCACGAACAAGCCAAGAAAAGGAGGCTTGAAACGGCAAGGGTTAAAACTATGCTTTGATATGGGGTGGACATTGTTGAAATTCTTTATCAATAAATTTATTGTGAATAACTCACTAGAAAATCAAGAAGTCGAGCGGTCTGTGAGCGTGGCTGAGCAAGGTTACATGTAAAAGAGCAATCGTAAAGAGAATAAGGATTGGATGTATCTAACCATATTCGAAGATGACATATTATACGACACAAGTGCATAGACGCTAGGCACGTACCATTTCTCTCTCATCTCAGCGCATTCAGATGTATTTCATGTGTTCGGAGCGACGTGGCCGAGGTAGTCAAAATCAGTTAAAACAAAATAGACCTTTCACGAAATAGGTTAAGATCTTATACTTCATGTTCTCAATCACTTCTTTAAAAGACCAAACTAAATCTACCTAAAACGTACGTTAAAGTCAAGTCATTTTCGCTCTACGCTCTCAACATAGTCTCCATCACACGCCTTTAATCTTAAATAGGCTCGGGTGGTTAAAGCATCTAAAACCTCACAGATGTTTTTTTTTTTTTAACTTTTAGGTCCAATCTTACATTTGTGCGCCTGGCCATATCAGGAGGCTCCAGCGAAGTCTCTGATTGTTGCCTTTGTTTTGGGCCAACCATCTCAGAGGCTGATGGTCAGTTTGAAGGGTGAACTGTCTACCATAAAGGTAGCAATGTAAAGTCTAGACACCCCAGACAATTGCGAGACATTCTTTCTCAGTAGTGGAGTCATTCTTCTCCCTAATAAGGAGCTTTCGGTTCTGATAAGAAATGTTGTGATCCCATCCAAATCTTGTGAAAGACCAGAGGGAATGCCATCATCACGAGCACCAGTTTGGAGAATGAATTCTCTTTTAAAATCTTGGATCTGGAGGATTGGTGAGGATATCGGGCTCGATTTCAGTGCGTCAAACGCCAGCTGACACTCACTCTTTTGGGTTCCCAGCTGAAATGATTTGGATATCTGTCCTTCAAATACAGGAGCAAATCAGTGGGTCCACAACACTGATTTCGTGATATAACAAAAACAACAGCTACATAGTAGAACAGACATGGCCAGACATCTCCTACATATATTCTGGTAATCTATAAGGCTCCTGCAGAATTAGCTGAGTCTGAGTCAGGCAAATATCATGTTGCACGAGGCGGGTCTTAATGTCTGAGAACTCAAGGAGCAGACACCTTACTTGTTCCTGTTGCTTTTCATCCAAAGAAGGCTATTGATGTGGACATATGTCCATGTTTCTGACTGAAACATTGGCTGCTTGCCAACATCATCTTCTGTTGGCTTTTGACAGTCACTGATGCCACACAGGCAGTATAAGTCCTTTGCTTTTATTTCCTCAGCGTGTTGAAATGGGAGACCTTGAATCGTTTCCTCGTGCTTCAACTGTCAACTTCATAGTCAACCGTGCATATTCTCATCAGGACAAGGCCCCATCCACTGCAGCCTGATTTCAGAGGATGGCATCAGGACTCAACCTATTCATCAAATTCAACTCTTTGTCTCCGGCACCTCAGTCATGATAGTCCTGTTTCCTCTGGGATTCCTTCAGGTTTTCCTGTGCCTGTTCTTACATCATACTTATAATATGTCTTGGGGTCTTCAGTAGCATTCTTTCGCAGCATCACTTTGAGTGTAACATTAAACCGTTCGCATAGTCCATTTGGTGGTGAGGCGTTGATGTTCCCAGTAGCATACGAACATCCAGCATAAACTGTGATGTAAAGTTTGTTCATTGACCGACAGCAACTCTTCAAGAATTTCAATTCTACTAAATATGGCAATAAGCTCGTCAGCAATATTTACTATTTCCATCTGGGGAATGGTGATTGCCTCTAGATATCGAGCATAATCGACCAGGGTAAGAATGTATTTATTCCCCTGGGGTTCTCCTGGGAGTGGACCCACAATGTCAGTTGCAATTTTCCTGAAGGGTTGACACATTACTGGTACATTCACATGGTTAACCTTGTCTCTGGATCTTTTCTTTGAAGACTTCTGGTAACATCCTTGAACAAAGTTCTTAAGGATTTGCAAGGCTAGAATCAGAGGACTGCAGTCCCTCTAACTGACTGTGGTTCATCTCACCCACTTCATCGCTAGTCAGTGTTACCTGACTAGTTCCATTTACGTATTGGTTCAGGCCCTCGTCTAGGACCCAACACGATTTATCGATTTCCATAAAACAGATTCCCACAATCTGTCAACAAGGGAGTCGATCCTGTAGCAGGATTTGCCCTGCTTTCTCACAACAAGGGAGTCGATCCTGTACCAGGATATCCCCTGCTCTCTTTTGGCAAAGGAGTCGATCCTGATGCAGGATTTCCTTTGACATGTTTTCCCCTGTTTTCTATCGACATGATATCAACAAGAGAGTCGATCCTGTACCAGGATTTGCCCTGCTTTCTCTCAACAAGGGAGTCGATCCTGTACCAGGATATCCCCTGCTCTCTTTTGGCAAAGGAGTCGATCCTGATGCAGGATTTCCTTTAACATGTTTTCCCCTGTTTTCTATCGACATGATATCAACAAGAGAGTCGATCCTGTACCAGGATTTGCCCTGCTTTCTCTCAACAAGGGAGTCGATCCTGTACCAGGATATCCCCTGCTCTCTTTTGGCAAAGGAGTCGATCCTGATGCAGGATTTCCTTTACCAGTTCTATTCTTTGATTGACAGTGATAACAGGACTTTGACCGTCATTACAGGGTTAGCCTGTACTCCTGACCTCCGAGCCTCCTGTTCGGATGTTTGTTTTGGCTTCCAGATGCCAAGGAGAACCTCTACCGCAAGTAACGGCAATAAACCAACACAAAATGTTCCTTTTGCATGAGGGCTCTCTTGGGGAACCATCGCAAGGGGTACATTTACCAAGCTGCCATCTGTAAAGCGGACGCCAATACTTGCCAGTAAGGTACCGTACGCCTGCCTTTCTTTGACCAATGGTTTGGAGCACCAGTGTCATGAACAATAACCATTTCGTTTCCATTCATTCGGCCTATTTGTTTAAATGGATTATGTTAACGTTCAACTGAGCAGGCCACCCACTAAGCCGTATCGAATCAAGTTGATCCTGACTTTGGTTTTGCTCTCCTTCAAATCACATTTGCTTGCGATATGCCCTGCCTGATATTATCTAAAACACTGACCTTCTCGCTTATAAAGTGGAAAGTTAACTGCCGCTTGCTGTGGTTCTGGTGATATATGTACTGCTTCTTTGTTGTCATTACCTTGCCTTCTTACGGCCAAGTACTGGTCGGCTAGTTCCACCATGTTAGTCGTAGACTTCAGTTGTCCACATGCAGAGGAATTGGCAGGAGCATGAAATGGGCTTAGCAGAGCTGCAAGTAAACGTCAATGTCATCAATTGGGGATAGGTTAGGTGTCCAGCTTCGACCGTTCTCCATTCGCTGCTGCTCAAGCTGCAGTTCTTCTATTTCTATCTGACTTGCAGCTCTGCGAAGTGCATATTATGCCTATTCCTCTGCATGTGGAGTTTCAACCCATCACGGAGTATGAGTAACTTCAGGGTAATAGGGTCTATACTCTTCTGATTCTGCGTACTTACCTGCTCACCTGTCGCTAACCCCTGTAATGTCGTAGCTGCCAAACCCGTCAGTTATTTCTAATGTTCAAAACAATAACGTATCGTAATAGTTCTATTATGTCCAGAGTCCTTGCTCTTCCAATAGTTGCTTAATTTTACACAAAACAATAAAAATCGCAATTAACTGAAACAAATTACATAAATGAAATTAGTCAAAGATAGAACCTAAATGTGTCTGTCCTTATGTGGAATATATCATGAAAGACACGTGCTGTTCTCACAGGAAGTCAGAGTTCTGCACATTAATAATCACATCATATCAAATCATATTCCGTATTGTTGACAAATTACTGGAATCCACACAGTATCAACAAGAACCGAAATTCAATTGCTCTGCCATGGCTGTCCATTATCAGGTATCTGTTGTCTGTTTTTCCTGATATCTTGTAATGGTCTTTGAGGTCGCTGATGGGGTCAACACTTTCTTCACAAGGAGGCTTATCAGGTGTCACTATCAGACTTGATCTATATTGTTTTTGTCTTCTCACTGGAGGCTTTCTTTCCAACTTGCTCTACTTCCAAGTTTTATTGAGATTTGAAAATTCTTCTTTTCCAAAATCAGGATCCAGTGAAGTTTAAAGATGACCTCTGCAGTAGTGTTTATAGTTTATATCCTGGTTTATACAAGAGGAGAATATTTTCTGGTCTTTCTTTTCCAATAATTCCTTTCTTCAGTTTTTCCGTTTTTAACACATTAATCCCGACTTGCTGCCACCAAATGCTATGAAGTTGTTGTGATGTTGTAACTTGCCACTGCAAAACTCGGCCTGGAACTGGTGTATCATCCCGGATACAGTGTCCAGTTTGTCTTTAAATATCCCTCCCTTGATGACCCCCAGATAAGAGTAAAGGGGTGCTCCTCAGGACTTTAACACTAGCTTAATACCACTTTATTACGTCACAGTTCACTGTATTCTAAATGAACCCGTCACTTCAAGTGAATTTCTTTTACTGTATCTCAGGTGGGTGGTCCGACTCGACCCTGTGTGAGAGGCCCAACTCAATCCCTATGCTCAAAGCAATCCCCCTAGCCTCAGACCGAAAGGGTCAAATGTGCATGTGCATCTCCCTGTTATCTCACACGAGTTAAATGATGAAATGAGTATTGACATAAACAATGACACAATCAGAGTCCGTATTTCAGGTAAATATTTGACATAAACGTTTTGTTTAATACTTTTGTGACAATATTTTCAATTTTTTTATTAAAAGCACTAAGTTCATGCTTTTGACGATATTTCATATGTCATAGCACTGTCTTTATACTTTTTATAATATTAAAATTGCTTGTGCCCCATTGCATAAATAGACAGGAAGTTTAATTTAAAAGGACTTTGCTTCAAAAGCAGAGGTTAGTGTTTGAGTTTGGTTTGTGATATAGATCAGAACAAAATATTACGGTTGAATGGAGGTGGGTAGAACATGAAGCCTTTTTTGTGTTTTTCGTCATTATTTTAAGAATGTTTTAAAGGCAATTTTCAAACCCATTCCCATGATTTCTACATTCAGGTTTGGCAAATACTCCATGTGGCTGTGAGACAGACTTTGCCAAGGCCGACGTCAGCAACAGCGATAAACTTTGCAAGTACGTCGTCAATAATCAGCCAGTCGTCTTCACAAGGGCAGTGATTAAACCATCGTTCACATGGGCAGTGATTACACAATCCTTCACATGGGCAGTGATTACACAATCCTTCACATGGGCAGTGATTACACAATCCTTCAAGTTGGCAGTGATTGCACATTCCTTCACATGGGTAGTGAATACACAATCCTTCACATGGGCAGTGATTACACAATCCTTCACATAGGCAGTGAATACACAATCGTTCACATGGGTAGTGATTACACAATCCTTCACGTAGGCAGTGATTACACAATCCTTCACATGGGCAGTGAATACACAATTCTTCACGTGGGCAGTGATTACACAATCCTTCACATGGGCAGTGATTACACAATCCTTCACATGGGCAGTGATTACACAATCCTTCACATGGGCAGTGATTACACAGTCCTTCACGTGGGCAGTGATTACACAGTCCTTCACATGGGCAGTGATTACACAGTCCTTCACATGGGCAGTGATTACACAATCCTTCACATGGGCAGTGATCACACAATCATTCGCGTGGGCAGTGATTGCACAATCCTTCACATGGGCAGTGATTACACAATCCTTCACATGGGCAGTGATTGCACAATCCTTCACATGGGCAGTGATTACACAGTCCTTCACATGGGCAGTGATTACACAATCCTTCACGTGGTCAGTGATTACACAATCCTTCACATGGACAGTGATTAAACAATCCTTCACGTGGGTAGTGATTGCACAATCCTTCACATGGGCAGTGATTACATAGTCTTTCACATGGGCAGTGATTCCACAATCCTTCACATGGGCAGTGATTGCACAATCCTTCACGTGGGCAGTGATTGCACAATCCTTTACATGGGCAGTGATTGCAAAGTCCTTCACGTGGGCAGTGATTCCACAATCCTTCACATGGGCAGTGATTACACAATCCTTCACATCCGCAGTGATTTCACAATCCTTCACGTGGGTAGTGATTGCGAAATCCTTCACGTGGGCAGTGATTGCACAATCCTTTACATGGGCAGTGATTGCAAAGTCCTTCACGTGGTCACTGATTCCACAATCCTTCACATGGTGAGTGGTTACACAATCCTTCACATGGGCAGTGATTACACAATCCATCACATGGGTAGTGATTACACAATCCTTCACATGGGCAGTGATTGCACAGTCCTTTACGTGGGCAGTGATTACACAATCCTTCACATGGGCAGTGATTACACAATCCATCACATGGGTAGTGATTACACAATCCTTCACATGGGCAGTGATTACACAATCCTTCACATCCGCAGTGATTACATAGTCCTTCACGTGGGCAGTGATTACACAATCCTTCACATGGGCAGTGATTACTTAGTCCTTCACATGGGCAGTGATTACACAGTCCTTCACATGGGCAGTGATTGCACAATCCTTCACGTGGGCAGTGATTGCACAATCCTTCACATGGGCAGTGATTGCAAAGTCCTTCACATGGGCAGTGATTGCACAATCCTTCACATGGGCAGTGATTACACAATCCTTCACGTGGGCAGTGATTCCACAATCCTTCACGTGGGTAGTGATTGCACAATCCTTCACGTGGGCAGTGATTCCACAATCCTTCACATGGGCAGTGATTCCACAATCCTTCACATGGGCAGTGATTACACAATCCTTCACGTGGGCAATGATTACACAATCCTTCACGTGGACAGTGACTACACAGTCCTTCACGTGGGCAGTGATTCCACAATCCTTCAAATGGGCAGTGATTACACAATCCTTCACGTGGTCAGTGATTAAACAATCCTTCACGTGGGCAGTGATTGCACAGTCCTTTACGTGGGCAGTGATTACACAATCCTTCAAATGGGCAGTGATTACACAATCCATCACATGGGTAGTGATTACACAATCCTTCACATGGGCAGTGATTACACAATCCTTCACATCCGCAGTGATTACATAGTCCTTCACGTGGGCAGTGATTACACAATCCTTCACATGGGCAGTGATTACTTAGTCCTTCACATGGGCAGTGATTACACAGTCCTTCACATGGGCAGTGATTGCACAATCCTTCACGTGGGCAGTGATTGCACAATCCTTCACATGGGCAGTGATTGCAAAGTCCTTCACGTGGGAAGTGATTGCACAATCCTTCACATGGGCAGTGATTACACAATCCTTCACATCCGCAGTGATTCCATAATCCTTCACGTGGGTAGTGATTGCACAATCCTTCACGTGGGCAGTGATTCCACAATCCTTCACGTGGGCAGTGATTCCACAATCCTTCACATGGGCAGTGATTACACAATCCTTCACGTGGGCAATGATTACACAATCCTTCACGTGGACAGTGACTACACAGTCATTCACGTGGGCAGTGATTCCACAATCCTTCAAATGGGCAGTGATTCCACAATCCTTCACGTGGTCAGTGATTAAACAATCCTTCACGTGGGCAGTGATTGCACAATCCTTTACATGGGCAGTGATTGCACAGTCCTTTCCGTGGGCAGTGATTCCACAATCCTTCACATGGGCAGTGATTACACAATCCTTCACATCCGCAGTGATTCCACAATCCTTCAGATGGGTAGTGATTGCACAATCCTTCACGTGGGCAGTGATTGCACATTCCTTCACATCGGCACTCATTACACAATCCTTCACATGGGCAGTGATTACACAATCCTTCACATGGGTAGTGATTACACAATCCTTCACATGGTCAGTGATTAAACAATCCTTCACGTGGGCAGTGATAGCACAATCCTTCACGTGGGCAGTGATTGCACAATCCTTCACATGGGCAGTGATTACACAATCCTTCAAGTTGGCAGTGATTGCACAATCCTTCACCTGGGTAGTGAATACACAATCCTTCACATGGGCAGTCATTCCAGAATCCTTCACATGGACAGTGATTACACAATCCTTCACATTGGCAGTGATTACACAATCCTTCACGTGGTCAGTGATTACACAATCCTTCACATGGACAGTGATTAAACAATCCTTCACGTGGGCAGTGATTGCACAATCCTTCACATGGGCAGTGATTACATAGTCCTTCACGTGGGCAGTGATTCCACAATCCTTCACATGGGCAGTGATTACACAATCCTTCACATCCGCAGTGATTCCACAATCCTTCACGTGGGTAGTGATTGCACAATCCTTCACGTGGGCAGTGATTACACAATCCTTCACATGGTCAGTGATTACGCAATCCTTCACATGGGCAGTGATTACACAATCCATCACATGGGTAGTGATTACACAATCCTTCACATGGGCAGTCATTGCACAGTCCTTTACGTGGGCAGTGATTACACAATCCTTCACATGGTCAGTGATTACACAATCCTTCACATGGGCAGTGATTACACAATCCATCACATGGGTAGTGATAACAAAATACTTCACATGGGCAGTGATTGCACAGTCCTTCACATGGGCAGTTATTACACAATCCTTCACGTGGGAAGTGATTACACAATCCTTCACATGGGCAGTGATTACATAGTCCTTCACATGGGCAGTGATTGCACAATCCTTCACGTGGGCAGTGATTCCACAATCCTTCACATGGGCAGTGATTCCACAATCCTTCACGTGGGTAGTGATTGCACAATCCTTCACGTGGGCAGTGATTGCAGAATCCTTCACATGGGCAGTGATTACACAATCCTTCACGTGGGTAGTGATTACACAATCCTTCACGTGGAAAATGATTACACAGTCCTTCACGTGGGCAGTGATTCCACAATCCTTCAAATGGGCAGTGATTAAACAATCCTTCACATGGGCAGTGATTACACAATCCTTCACGTGGACAGTGATTACACAGTCCTTCACGTGGGCAGTGATTCCACAATCCTTCAAATGGGCAGTGATTACACAATCCTTCACGATGTCAGTGATTAAACAATCCTTCACGTGGGCAGTGATTGCACAATCCTTCACATGGGCAGTGATTACACAGTCCTTCACGTGGGCAGTGATTCCACAATCCTTCGAATGGGCAGTGATTACACAATCCTTCACGATGTCAGTGATTAAACAATCCTTCACGTGGGCAGTGATTGCACAATCCTTCACATGGGCAGTGATTGCACAGTCCTTTACATGGGCAGTGATTCCACAATCCTTCACATCCGCAGTGATTCCACAATCCTTCACATGGGTAGTGATTACACAATCCTTCACATGGGCAGTGATTGCACAATCCTTCACATGGGCAGTGATTACACAATCCTTCACATGGGCAGTGATTACACAATCCTTCACATGGGCAGTGATTGCACAATCCTTCACATGGTCAGTGATTAAACAATCCTTCACGTAGGCAGTGATAGCACAATCCTTCACATGGGCAGTGATTGCACAATCCTTCACATAGGCAGTGATTCCACAATCCTTCACATGGGCAGTGATTACACAATCCTTCAAGTGGGCAGTGATTACACAACCCTTCACATTGGCAGTGATTGCACAATCCTTCACATGGGTAGTGATTGCACAATCCTTCACATGGTCAGTGATTAAACAATCCTTCACGTGGGCAGTGATAGCACAATCCTTCACATGGGCAGTGATTACACAATCCTTCACATGGGCAGTGATTACACAATCATTGAAGTGGGCAGTGATTACACAATCCTTCACATGGGCAGTGATTACACAATCCTTCACATGGGTAGTGATTGCACAATCCTTCACATGGTCAGTGATTAAACAATCCTTCACATGGGCGGTGATAGCACAATCCTTCACATGGGCAGTGATTGCACAATCCTTCACATGGGCAGTGATTACACAATCCTTCACGTGGGCAGTGATTCCACAATCCTTCACGTGGGCAGTCATTCCAGAATCCTTCACATGGACAGTGATTACACAATCCTTCACGTGGGCAGTGATTCCACAATCCTTCGAATGGGCAGTGATTACACAATCCTTCACGATGTCAGTGATTAAACAATCCTTCA